GACAGCTACTTCAACTGGAGAGCGTGAGCTGGGATGGGGGAAGACCAGACTAAGCAGGGCTACAACACCTATGCGCCTCATGTGAACTAGATCAGGGAAAAGCCAGGCTGGGCTAATTGTTCCTACTGATGCAAAAAAAAATTAAGAGTGCGTGAGGGTTGTTTGGGCTTAGTCACAGCATCAGCTGGCAGAAGCTGGGCCCTGGGAGCTAATTCTGTCAAGTTAAATCACAGAACCACCTAGAGAGTGCATAATCTGGGAGTGGGAGTGGCCTACAGGGGAAATAGTGGGCGCCATCCTCTTAGGTTACCACTCCCACCGGACAGCACGAAAACCAGGACAGGGGCTGGGGTGGCTAAACAAAAAGGCACCCAACAACATCTGTGTGGGCTGGATAGTTGAGCTGGTTAGATGGAACTAGGCTTCAATACCCATTGACATGTATGAATGGGATGTGGGACAGACTGGACTAGTCTGCCACATATACTGGCAAACTAGGGTAGGGCAGGCCTGGTGGGGGTTATCGTGGGTCGCTCTGACTAGGCTGCAGCTCCCACTGGTTTATGTGACGGCCAAGTATGTGCTGGGCAGAACCAGGCTGGACTGTAACACCCATTGGTTCCAGTGGAAGTCAGGGCTGAAAACAGAACAATTGCAACCACCAGCAATTGCAACCACCAGCTGATCGGGGTGATGGAGTGTGCTGGGCCCTATACTTGCTAGTACATACAAGAATGTGGTCTGGGAACACCTCAGACAAAGTTTATTTGGGGATCTTCCCAATCGAGCTTCCAGACTCAGAACCCTAACCATGAAAAGACAGAAGACAGAACAAGTCAATCAACCACCTCAGCTATATGTTGGCAGTGAAAAACTGGGCAAATGGAGACCCTAAGATGGACTATGTCAATCAGTGGATTCTTCAACGACCTCATGGTGCTTGGAGTGGTGAGATTGGCAGCAATTCATAACTGGTGAACTATCTAACCACTTGAGCAAGACCCTCGGAGCATGCCCCACATCAGGGACCTGGGGTGGGTGGGAGACTGGGTGTGGTTTCTCCCAAAAATCCCCCCTTTACCTCAGATACATGAAGGAAAAAATGTGGAAATAATAATCTTACCCACTTTCCTGTAGTCCTTGAACCTTTTTACCCTTAATTAACTATGTAAAGATTGTCAAAAATATAATTTTTAAAAAGTGGAAAAAGTAAAAAAATTGCTCTTCAAATATTAGGATCTTTTTAAACTTATCCTGATAGTTTACCTTGTTACACATGTAAGTACCAATAAGTCTATTTTTTAGAAAATACCACACAAACCTACTAGCACATGGAGACTTCCCATTTTCGAAAGCAAAGCAAACTATACTTCTGAAAGTGAGGACTAATACACACACAGCAAGAACACAATCTTAGACACACTGCTCACTGAATTTATACTCAAGTAATCAAAATTCTTCTAGAACATTCCTAAATGTGGTTGAAGAAATTGTTACAAAACCTCAAACCTAATCCACTCATTAGACATGCAGCAAGTCAATTACTGACAGTAAGGCAGAGAGATAGGAGAAAGTAGCTTTTCTACAACATTTAGAGCACTTATAATTCAATACCTGGATTTCCCAAAGGATTAAAGGCAGTGTGTCTCACATTTTATAGTGGAAGTTGATTAACTAACCAGTGTGTATGGGGGCCGCTGCTTGGCCCACAGAGCACAAAATCATCCCTTGATTGGTCAGTGGTAAGATCTCAAATGCTTACTTTGAAATAGCAAAGGTGGGCTATTATCTAAGGCAGGGATGGGGCAAGTCAAATTTGTGGACAACATCACTTAGTCTGGCCCTGCCAAGGCAACCACAAGCCAGAATTCAAATAAATCTACAGACTGGTTTTTAAATTAATAACTTTGTATGGTAATGATGTTATGAATATCCAACTGGACCCGGCAGAAAAAGAGTTCCCCACTCTTAAGGTCTATGGGGATTACTGTGTTTGAGGCCTATAAATTCCCTCCAAACTGTTATCGTTTCTTTTAGAGTTAGGGTCAGGGTTGGGGTCAGGGTCAGAATAGAGGCAGGCATTAACACTAAACACAGGGGCAATACGCATCTTGCGATGACAGGATCTGGGCTCTTGGCTTTACCTTTGGGTCATTCCCTTAATTTAATGAGTTAATCTTTACAGAGGAACTGCAAAGTAGAAGACGGATACTGAGGTCTGAAAGTCTGCATCACAGCTATCTGAGATGGGGCTAAGCTTCAGAATACAACTAGAGACTTCTAGAACCTCAGACGATACATTTGTTTCTCCCTCAATACCTCCCCCTCCCCAATGTCAAGAAGTATTCAGATTTATCAGTGAATATGTGTTATACCTGTCCTTGAACCTCAAAAATAATCTTGTACTCTTTCAAAGTCTATGAAATTCAGTAGGCAGCTGTGCAACGATTCATGGATTTTAGTTACTATGTGCTATTCCACCAAACAAATGTAACAATTTTTATATATTCTCCCACTAATGGACATGAGTTTTCTCCTTCTGTTTCTTGTGCATGCCTTTCTCTTGGCTATAAACCTATGAATGGAATTACTGGGTCATTGTATAAGGTCACAGGGCTTAAGAGACATGAACAGACCTGGTTGGGGAGCTAAGGGCACACCCTGGCTGGCTCAGAATTCCCATGCTGAGCACGAGGGCCGGAGTGGGAGCTGTGGTCTGGTCTGGACATGATGCAGCCTCCCTCGGCATGAGTGTGGACTGGGTCTGGAATGCACTAGACTGGACTAGACTCCAGTACCCACTGGTATTCATGAAAGCCAGGGTGGGTGTAGAATGAGCAAAGCCAACTCTCAGATCCCACTGAACCACGTGAGAGTTGTCTGGGCATGGACTAGGTGTGGCTGGGCTGAAACACCCAACAGTTAGAACCGGAAAGGGTATGGGCCAATTGGGCAGGACACCATTCTGCCAGGACAAGAAGTGGGCCAAGTTGGACTGGGCCAAGGACCTCCTGGTGTATGCCAGATCTTCCACTGGGAGGAGACCCAATAGAGGAGCTTAGGGAATGCCTCTGACAGGACGCAGTCCCTACAGGTGAACGCAAGAATCAAGACAGACAGCAGCCCAAATCAAGCCAGGTTACAGTTCCTACTGGCGTCATGTGGGTCAGGTCTGGGGGCAGGCCAGGCTAGGCCAGTTCATAACACCCACTGGCACATCTGAGAACCAGGTTGGGGTGCAGCAGGAAACAGGTCAGCTGGAACTAGGAGCAGGCTAGACTGAGCCAGGCTGAAGCACCTGCCAGTGGATGCCAAGGTGAGGCAAGCAATGCCAGTCTGGGGACAGTAGGTGCCGGCTTCCATGAGATCCAGGGGATGGAGGATCTGTGGGATCTTCAGCCTGACTATGAGGGAGGAGCTGGGTCAGTGAGTCCCAGGAGTAGGGGCTCCAGTGGAGCCCAGGTCGTATGTCCTGGGTCCTCTGGCCGGCCTCCAAGGTGGGTGCTGAATCCATAAGCCCCAGAGGGAGGGTGTCTGATGGGACCCGGGTCACCTTGCCTGGATCCTTGGGCCCACCTGCACAGTGGGTGTTGGGTCCTTGAGTTCCAGGGCTGAGGCACGTGGCAGGACCTGCGTGATCTAGGACCTTTGGCCCACCTGCAAGATGGACGCTGGATCCTTAAGCCAGCGCAAATCACCTAGCCCAGGTCCTTGAGCCCACCTGTGCGCTAGGTGCTGGGGCCATGAACTTCAGGGGTGGGGGCTCCAACAGGGCCCAGATCACCTGGCCCAGGCCCTTGAGACCACCTACACAGTGGGTGTTGGTTCACGAGCCACAGGGATGGGGGTTCTCGTGGGGCCTGGGTCATCTGACCCGGGACCTCTGGCCCACCTGCGAGGTGGGTGCTGGATCCATGAGCCCCAGCTGGGGAGGGGGGCGGTGGGGCTCAGGTGACCTGGCCCTGGGCCTTGGGCCTGCCTATGCAGTGCATGCCAAGTCTGTGGGATCCAGGGACTGGGAAGGCTGGCAAGTCGCCTGACCCGGGTGCATGAGCCCACCTGTGAGAACTAATCCTCCTCAGTGTAAAGGACAGAGTGGTAAACAGCAGGTCTTGGTGCACACGGAGGATATGGCAATCCTTTGGGGCCTAAAGAGCATATCTGGTACCATAGCAGAAAATGGAGAACAGAACATACTGGACAACTATCCCAGCCAAATGCTGACAGCAAATATCTCAACGAATGGAGACTGTAAGGTTGACACAGCCAATGGACAATGGAAGAGATTCCTCATCTACAGATTGATGATATAGACAGCATTTCAGAACTATCACATCTACCTGGGCAAAACCCTCAACATACATGTCACATCAGGACCCTGGGTTTATATGGGGGGTGTTTCCCCCACCCTGGGTACGGGGGTGGTTGGAAGGCTAGGTACAGCTTCTCCCCCTCCCCCAAGAAATGGGAAGAAATAGAAAGTTTGGCAACAATGATCACACCCCTTTTCCCTAACCCTGGATCTTTCCCACCCTGATCAACTATGAAATCATCTAAAAAATTTTTTAAGAAGCATTAAAAATTTTCAAATCAAACCATACAATTACAATTGTAATATGGTCATCAATAACTAAGACAGTCTTCAACCAAGTATCACATGTTCATACTTTAATTTCCTTGATTTTTAAACAAAGCAAATTCACCATTTTCATTCAACAAATATTTTTCTCCTCTCACTCTCTCATACACACATGCACAATTCTTAGCTATCTTATATACGTAGCTATGACTGTCACCAACTGTAACCAAAACAGTCAAAGCAGTAGCATATAACAGGATGAGGTTCCCAAAAGTTGTATCTTAAATCTAGCACATTTAATTAGTTCCAAGAAGGAAAGTTGTTGGGATTCTAAAGAAATATTTTTCTGACAGATAAGTCTCTTTCACAACAGCCTATTAAGAAATATCTCAAAATCAGTTTAGCAACTATAGTGACGTACCTAAGGAACCCTTGGTTTGTTGACTATTTGGTGGTATGTTTTCCTTAGCCATGGAGATTAATATTTTACTGTTTTCAGAAAGCTTCTCTGATGTCTTTCCCTGTAAGAGACATAATTTTACAAGAGTACAGGTAAGAAAAACCACAAAATATATAATCCGTCTCAAAATTTTTACCCAAAAATCTTGACAAAATTATATGGTACATCAGAAGAAATTCATGTGCTGAGGAATTAAACAAAGGTATTTAAACACTATAACTACTCTAAAATTCACTTACCAATTGTTCATTGAGTTTCTAACAAGTATCAGACACCATTTTTAGGCATTACAAAAATATGAATGTTTTAAAAATAAAAATTTCTGCTATCACGGAGTTTATAAACTACTGGAGAAACAAGTAATAAACATAACTAGATTATGTAATATGTAAAATATGACATTCAAGGATTATGAAGAAAAAATAGAGCAAGGTATGAAGTATAGAGCAAGTCTAGAGATCGCTATTTAAAGCGAGAGATAATAGGAGTTGTGACTACCACTTTCTATGCAAGCATCCCACATGAGTGGCAATTTGAGTCCTAGCTGCTCCAATTCTGATCCAGTTTCCTAATGTACCTGGGAAAGCAGCAGGCGATGTTTCTAGCGCTTAGGCCACTGCAACCCACAGAGGTGCTCTGGCCTAGCTAGGGGCAATTGCAGACTTTTTGGGGGAAGGAACCAGCACATGAAATATCCCGGCATCTCTCTATCACTCTCTCAAAATAATTAAAATGAAAAGTAATGATATTAAGCTTTATTCAATTTATGTTCTGCCGTCTACATAACTCCAAACAGTGTAAACTGGCACATTAGCAGTAACTAATAGCACAGACTTTGGAACTGGTGGAACTGGATAGAGGTTCCACTTTTAAATCTACCATTACATGGACATTAAATTACTTAAATTCATTTGAGTCTCATTTTCCTGACCTGTGAAACAAAAAAATTCTACCTACTTCATAAGATTATGGTAAAAAGAAGACACATGCCAAGTCCTTGGTTACCCAGGAAGGTAACCTAGACCAGTAATTCAGAAAAAGCACTGGAATCACATCAGAACGCCAAGGATCAAAGACCAGTTTGTCCAACTTGGGCTCAACACTTGACTTTCTCATGCCTTAGTTCATTCATCTGGAAAATTACAGTAACTGCAGTTACCCCACAGTTCACAAGGAAACATAACTTAAGATCATGCCATGAAGTTTACACTCAACACTAGCTATGCAAGTAAAATAACTTTATATTTAAGGTGACATCATTTATCTTCTCCACTGGGATAAATCTGCCCAGGACAAATGCTAATAAACTAGATGAAAACACTGAGACAACAGCTAAAACAGACTGTCTTGAGAAAACCAACACATATGGTTATTCTCATTATGACGGACCATATGGCAGAGACACACTGACACACAACACCTTACACATACGAAACCTATGACAATCATTTTTAACAAATTCACATTTTAAAAGAATAAACAACTCAAATTCAACCCTGTAGAATTTTAAATAACTCAAATGTTTAATACAACATGAACACTTGATATTTTGCTTTATATTCCAGATCTTTGTACTAGAGTAAGTCTTTTAAAAACATTCTCACTCACAGAACAGGATCATTTGCATTTATACAGGAGTGATTTTCAGAGATAATGTAATAAAACGTGTTAGAAGAAAATCAGGAACTTTACCTTCATTTCCATATAAGGTGGATCACGTTCCAACTCAGCTCTGTCTTTGGCCAATTTGGCTTTTCGCTCTTCAATAAATTCATCCAGCTTATCAGCCATTTTGTAAATTCTAAAGGAAAAAATAATTCTTCAGTGAACACAACTGTACTTCAGTATTTTTGGTCAAATTCTTAACACGCATCTTAACCTACTTAATCTCACCTATCAAGCTGAGAATTTCAAAACTAATTATACTTAATCAATGGTGTGTGTGCCTGCAGCAGGTGTTGTGGCATTGTGGTCAAGCTGTCATCTGCCTACTCTGGTTCAGGTCCCAGATGCTCCACCTTCTAATCAGGTTCCCTGATAATGGTATGGGAAAAGCAGTACTAGAGGGCCAATGCCATTGGAGCCTCTGCCACCCACGTGGCAGACTCAATCAATCTCCTGGCTTTGACCTGCACCAAGTCAAGCACTGTAGCCATCTGGGGAATGAACCAACATGTGATAGCTCTTGCTTTCTTTTTCTCTCCCTATCTTTCCATCTCTTCCTCTGTAACTCTTTCAAAATTAATTAATCTTGTGAATACTTAAAAAAATATATATGAACTGCCTGCCTGCTTCCTAAAGTCTGCTCTAAAATTTACAACAAAGTTTAAAAATCTCAAGAGAGGGTCTAGCATGGTAGCCTAGTGGCTAAAGTCCCCGCCTAGCACACGCTGGGATCCCATACAATAGCCTGTTCTAATCCCTGCAGACCCACTTCCCATCCAGCTCCGTACTTGTGGCCTGGGAAAGCAGTAGAGATGGCCTAAAGCCTTAGGACCCTGTACCCATGTATGAAACCCAGAAGCAGCTCCTGATTCCTAGCTTTGGATCAACTCAGCTCTGGCCGTTATAGTCACCTGGGGAGTGAATCATTGAATGGAAGATCTTCTTCTCTGTCTCCTCCTCTCTGTATACCTGACTTTGCAATAAAAAAAAAAAAAAAAAAATCTTTAAAAAAAAACAAGAAAAAAAAAAAACTACCAATCACACACAACCCAAAAGAAAAGCAAAAGCAATAAAGTTTTGAATTCTTCAAGCACCTGCTTTAAGGAAAAAAAGAAAACCACACAGAAACTAAAAAACCAAACACTATTTGGAGATGCTTTCTAATTCATAAAGTTACAAAAACATTTATGCAGTCTTTGCTAATTCGTATTCTTAGTACTTTTACCACCGCTTCCCTTATTCCTTGTAAGTACAAGGCCATTTTCCACAGACCCACAATTTTAATTATTAAAGAGAATTACATATATTGTAACCTTCTGCCTCCTTATTTTTAGTGTGTATTTTCTAGGAATTAGGTCATTTTTTAAAACTGTTTTAATATACAGTATTTTTTTTAAGATTCATTTTATTTTATTATTGGAAAGACAGATATACAGAGAAAGTAGACGGGCAGACCTTCCTTTAGATGATTCAATCCCCAAGCGGCCACAACAGGGGGAGCTGCACCAACCCAAAGCGCGGAGCCAGGAGCATCTTCCAGGTCTCCCACGCTCCCAAGGCATTTCGACTGCTTTCCCAGGCCACAAACGGGGAACTGGATGGAAGCAGGGCCACCAGGATTAGAACCAGCACCCAAATGGAATCCCGGCATGTGCAAGGAAACGACTTTTAGCTGCTAGGCTACTGTGTTGGCCCAATTTAATCCCTTAATACTGATTACAGTTGAGAAGGATGCATACATATGTAGGCCCCTGATTAGGGTGGGGAGGGACAGGGTTTGGAGAAAGCTGGGTGGCATAAACGTTTCATCATTTTCTTCTCCAGTGTCTGCAAGGAGGAGGGAAAGAGAGGGCACCACTCTGCTGTCAACTACATTAGCAAAACAGGGATAAGGGACGGTAATTTAATGACACTTTACAGATTTCAATGTGGAGAAGAATGTTCCAAGAATGTACCTGAATGATTTTAATAGTTCTGAGACATTGTCAACTTCACTGCACCAGGGTTGAAAAAATCTTCCCAAGGTCTATTGGTCCATTCAATGCATCCACAGCACAGAATCAGTCACTTGCACAGCTTGGTGAACCGTGCAGCCTGTGTTCTGCTTCCTAACCTGATGAGGCGGTAGACATCACCTGCCTGTCTAGATGAGCTACTCCCACTTCCCCTACGTACATCTGAGCATGTCTACTCCACCGACTACTCCATGATGTCTACTCCATCAGCAACAGAGCGCCCAGTCCCAATACATGCACTCCAAGATCAGACTACATATTTTGTGGTTTTCTTTGAGGCCAGGGTTGGAGTCTAGAAGTCCAGTTGCGAAGTCATCTAAGAAACCTAACCTGGGGCAGGGACCCCTTACTTCCACTGCTGCGGTGCCTAGGTGGGCCGGCATGTTGGCTCAACTGGCGAATCCGCCACAATATCCCACGTGGGCACTGCTTGGCGCACTGGCTGCTGCACTTCCCAGCCAGTGTTGCTTGTGGCCCTGGGGAGCAGCAGAGGACGGCCCTAAGACTTGGGACCCTGCACCCACATGGGAGACCCAGAAGAGGTTCCTGGTTCCTGGCTTCGGATCGGCGAAGAACCGGCTGCTGCACTCACTTGGGAAGTGAATCATCAGATGGAAGATCTTTCTGTCTCTCCTCCTCTATGTATATCTGACTTTGTAATAAAAATAAATAAATCTTAAAAAAAAAAAAAAGAGTGAACCGGCAGATGGAGTTTCCCTAAAACAAATCTTTAAAAAAAAAAATCTAAAAAAAAAAAGTGGGTAGATGTTGGTCCAGCAATTAAGATGCTCACATCCCTGTAAGAGTGCCTAGATTCAAGTCCTAGCTGAACACAACTTCAATTTCCTGCTGATGGACATTCTGATAAGGAACAAACCATAGCTCATGTCTGGGTTCCTCAAACCCACGTGGAGACCAGGAAGAAGCTCCAGGAACCTAGCTTCCGGATCAGCTCGGCTCCCGCCATTGTGGCAATTTGGGGAGATGGAAGATCTTTCCATCTGTCTTTCTCTCCGTAAATCTGATCTGCCTTTCCAGTAAAGATAAATAAATCTCTTTTTTTATTATTTTTTTTTTATTGGAAAGGCGGATATACAGAGAGGACAGACAGAGAGGAAGATCTTCCGTCCCATGATTCACTCCCCAAGTGAGCGCAAGAGGTCGATACTATGCCGATCCGAAGCCAGGAGCCTCTTCCGGGTCTCCCACGCGGGTGCAGGGTCCCAAAGCTTTGGGCCGTCCTCGACTGCTTTCCCGGGCCACAGGCAGGGAGCTGGAAGGGAAGCGGGGTTGCCGGGATTAGAACCGGTGCCCATATGGGATCCCGGGGGTGCAAGGCGAGGACCTTTAACCACTTGCGCCACCGCGCCAGGCCCAAGATAAATAAATCTTAAACTATCACATTAGCAAAACATATTCCAAACCAATAAAATATATTTGCCATTTTTAATTTTTCAATTATCATAAATGGTAGTGAAAATTCAGAGCAGTCCTACAAGTTTAAAAAAATCACTTAAAATAGTTTCCCTAAAAGTTTTATTTCTGATAGAAATAAAAAATGCAAATATTTTAACTACAGGATTTTACACAGAATTTTAGCAAAAATGTCATTAGTCTTATATTAAAAAAAGAAAAAAAGGCAAACAACAAATAAACAACCTTAAGAAGCTGCTTCTAGGAGCCAGGACTGTGTGACCACGGGTTGAGTCTCTGGCTGTGAAGCCAGCAGTCCATAGGGGTAACATGCTCCTCCACCTTCAATCCAGCTCCCAGGAAAAGTAGCAAAACACAGCCCAGATGCTTTGGCCCCTGCCACCCTACTTGACAGGCCTGAATGAAGTTCCTAGTGCAGACTGAGTCACTGTGACCATTTGGAAAGTGAACCAAACAACAGAAGATCTCTTTCTGTGTCTCTAACTCTGACTTTCAGATAAATAGATAAATCCTTTAAAATTAAATAGAGCCTCTTTTACACTGAAGTAGCAGTCATCAACATGTCCATTTAAATGTTAGCCAGATTCTCACAGCATTCACTCTTACATGTAGATACTTGCATTTCTCTTTAATACCAAAATTTAGCATCAGTTATCATAACTCCAGAAGTATTAACTATAACCATGGTAATAAAACATTCTAAGCAATAGAAGTGACAAAATAGTATCTGCCAAAATGTATTATTTATCAGACACAGATTATTTTTTTAAGGATTTATTTATTTTTACTTGAAAGGCAGAGTCAGAGGGAGAGACAGAGAGATATCATCCACCCACTGGTTCACTCTCCAATGACTGTGACAGCAAGTGCTGGGCCAGTGTGAAGCCAGGAGCTTCTTTTAGATCTCCCACGTGGGTGCAGGAGCCCAAGCACTTGGGCTGACTTCCTGGGCTTTCCCTGGCCCAACAGCAGAAAGCTGAATGGAAGACAGGAACTCAGACCAGTGCCCACAAGGAACGTTGGCGCGCAGGTGCGCGTAGGACACCACAACGCCAGCCCCAGAGACAAATGCTTTCATCACATCTAAGTGTGTCCTATTCTGATAACACTTGAATTCAGGACGGGCGTTTCACACAGTATCAATATACTACTTGAGACACTGAAATCCCATAGAGTCCTAGCTCCCCTCCCCATTCCAGGGTCCAGAAGCAGACGGGGTTTCTGACACCCATGTGAGAGACTTGCATTAGGTTCCTAGCTTGAAAGCCACTAATAAACTTCCTCTTGCTAATAATCTCCAATCAACAACCAGTAGAAACACTAAACAAGTTGGATTTAGCACTCACTGCATTGAGGGATGCACTGAGAACACATACCACAGAGAAAATGTTAGAAAAGATGTACATGATTGGGTGATCTGTACTCTTGTGTTAGATGACTTGGGACAACCCTTAATAAATTAGAATTTGGGGCCTGATGTGATGGCTCAATGGCAAACTTCTTACCTTACTAGTGCCAGCAACCCATATGGTGCCAGTTTATGCCCAAGCTGTTCCACCTCCCATCCAGCTACCCAATTCCAGCTTGGGAAAGCAACAGAGGACGACCCAAAGCCTTGGGACCCTGTACCTGTGTGGGAGGCCAAGCAGTAGCTCCTGGCTCCTGGCTTTGGATCAGCTCAGTTCCA